ATCCCTAAGATTTCATGCTTGCGTATTTTTGTCATCTGTCAGATGTGTGCCAGGAAATTCGTACTAGAAAATCTTTCATACGCACCTTGAAATTATCAGATTTACCCCAAATTGATCCATCGAAACCACAAATTGCAGCTTTTGAGACGTTACCAGAGCCGACCAAATTGTTGTTAACCAAATCAGCCCAGGACATTTTTTAAATTGTAAGAAAAATTTTTGCACAGTGACAAGATTTTCAGCTCGATAATTCCTGAAAAATATCATTTTCCATAAATACTAAACGGAAGAATCTTTTCTCAACCACGAAAGCAGTAGGACTTTTCTCAGATGAGCAACGTACGGGATATCACTGCAGCCAGTGATAAAGTAAAATCCGTTGAGCGGGGCATGTTGCACGCCTTGTAATAGTTGGTAAATTCGCGTACTAGTAAGTGGTACCCGTGGAAATTGCAACGACTACTCGGAGGTCCTCCGAGTATCCTCCGCATGCACTGACTGTACTCCTGCGCTACGCGCTTAAAACAACTACACATATGAAAGGCCACTCAGACGTTTTCCGAAGAGGTGGCGCACACAATCGAACTAGATGCGGACATTAAATGGAGGTACGCAACTCAGGATTAAATCACCTAGCATAGCCGACTCGAACATGTAGAAATATCCCAGAAACTTCATTAGGATTGATACTCCTACTGGTAACCGGCCAGTTTTAATAGCTATCTTGATACAATAAAATTCAAAATGCTGAAATACGTGAGCAAATTGATTGTACATTGAACAGTCATGTGTTTCTGGTCGCAGAACGATGAATCAGCGCATAATCAGAATTTTTTGATTAAAAAAAAGGTTTTTTTTTAAAATTTGATGATTCGATTTCAATAATTTCTGGCTGTAGACCACACTGTAGAACGTTATTTTTTCTCTGACCATCATTCAAACAATGAATAATTTTTAAAATGAGACTTAATTTCGAGATAATACGGAATGCAGAAAGTTTGTAAAAAAATTTAATGAAAACACAAAAAGAGCATTATAACAGAACTAATAAACTCGATGAAGACAGAAGTACAGCATTT